TTTATTGGTTCTTTGATTTGTCTGTTTCCTCATTCACATAGTTGCTGTGTGTCTGAGTGCTGACACTGGTATCTGCTGTTGCCAGAGATGAAGCAGAGTGGCATGGGCCCTGTTTGCTCTGAGAGTGGCAAGAAGTCCTGAAACCAGATTTCCTAGTCCCCATGATCATCACATTCCTCCCAAAGTCCAACAGCAGCTTTATAGTACACTGAAACCATGACGTTCAGACCATGTCCAGCATTTTCACCATAAACATCTTTGCCATAGACATCTTGGCCTACAAGCATTTTTGCCCCATAACTAATGGTTGTAAGGCAATTTGCTGTAAAACAAAAAAAAAGAATAACACAATTAAGGGGACTTTATTTAAAATGTATGCAGCTTCATGGCAAAACTACTCAAATAACTAATTTTATTTTGTGGATTGTATCTGAGCGCATTTCTTGTTCTGTGAGAAATGTGGGCTTAACTAAATCTGCACCCTCAAAGAGGGCCTTTGGCCTCTCCTTCTCTTCCAAGATGGTGTGTTTCAAAATGAAAAACCAACTCTTGGAACAATTCATCGCCACTTGGAAGAAATTATAACTATTTTAAGACCACCACCACCATACCTACTTGCCACATTACGGACCATTGGAAGAGCTACCTAATATTTATATGTGTAAAAATGGGAGTAGGTGCAAGAACTTCCTTAACGGGAAATGAAACAAAACTGACAATTAGCTTAAATATATTAAATATGCCAAACTTGGTTGATTGATTACTCAATGGAAAAATGAAGCCAACTAACCAAAAATCACCCCAAAATTTGAACTGTTTTATGGCGAAATTAACTTACGGCCAATTAATTGTGCCATGAAAATGTTTGTGGCAAAGCTATCTGTGGCAAAGATGCTGCAGAATAAATACCTAGAACAGATTCAGAAACAAAGCATGTTTCTTACATCATAATTACTTATAATAAAAGGCATAATTAGTACATTATTTATCATGTACTATAATGCTAAGGAATCAATTCTATATACAGAAGGTCCTCAAATAATGTTGTTTTATTCAACATTGTTCAGTTATAATGTTGATGAGATGGTATTAACTCTTATTTATACCAATCAGCCTATGGTAAAATTGGTGTTATATGCCTTTTTGCTTAAAGTTTGCATAATTTCTCAAAAAAAAATGTTAAGTGATGACTTTCTGGATGCAACAAACAGTAAATAGAGATGAATAGATCTTGCATGTGGAAACACTAGAGCCACCTCTTTTGTATTATAATGTTGTTTTATTCAATATTGTTCAGTTATAATGTTGATGAGATGGTATTAACTCTTATTTATACCAATCAGCCTATGGTAAAATTGGTGTTATATGTCCTTTTGCTTAAAGTTTGCATAATTTCTCAAAAACTGTTAAGTGATGACTTTCTGGATACAATAAATAGTAAATAGAGATGAATAGATCTTGCATGTGGAAACAGTCGGGCTGTAGCCACCTCTTTTGTATATTGGATATCACCCTTCTATGGGGCTTGAATATGTTTGTGTTTGGTGCCTCTTTGAGGACTCTGTTTCTTAAAACCAGGGATCATATCTTAAAAATATTTAA